CATCCGGCTTTCTGTGAGGAGCCTGCTTTTCCCTTTGCCTATATCTCTGCCTCTCTGTCTCTCATGAATAAATAAATAAAATCTTTTTTAAAAAATCTTTATATATTTTTAAAATATAAATATATATTTGATGTCTAAATATTAAAAATTATATGTAGTTGATTTTTCCGTTTAAAACCTTCCCAAAAAAAATTCCAGGCCCAAATGACTTCACTGGAAAATCTACCAAACATACAAGAAAAATTTTCATGCCAATTCTACACAAATTTTCACACAAGACAGAACAGGAAGAAACACTCCCAACTTATTTTAGAAGACTAGCAATACTCTGATACTAAAACTAGACAAAAATATTTCAAGAAAAGAAAACTACAGGTAAGTATGTTCCATCAACAGAGAAAAGAATTCTCAAAAATACAGAAATAAAACAAATAAAGCAATATTTTAAAATAATAATATAGCAAAGTGAAATTTATCCTGAAAATGTAAGATTGCTTCATAGTGGAAAATCAATTACTATAATTCACCTAATTGATACAGAAAAAGAAAACTCCCCTCCTTCCACAGACACATCAAATCTATAACTATATATGGAATAATTTCCTTTAAAAAAGAAAGAAAGAAAGAAAGAAAGAAAGAAAGAAAGAAAGAAAGAAAGAAAGGAAGAAAGAAAGAAAGAAAGAAAGAAAGAACCAATGGGATGCCTGGGTGGCTAAGTCAGTTGGGCATCTGACTCTTGACTTCAGTTCATGTCATGATCTCAGGATCATGAGATTGAGCCCCAAGTCAGGCTCTGAGCTCAGCATGGAGTCTGCTTGAGATTCTCTCTTTCTCTCTCTCCCTCTGTCCCTCCTCCCACTCATGCTCTCCCTTCTCTAAAACAAAAACAAACTAGCTGAGTGACTGCTACATATTGGGCAAATAAACCCACTTGGGAGTGGGTAGGAGAGGCTGGAACAATCTCACCATAAACCACACCCCTGGTGCTATAACCCACAGCTGGAAGGGAACTCACAACCCTGAACTTCTCCCTTGGAAGCAAAGGGTGTGAACCCCACATTTGGCACTTCAACTTTTAAAACCTGCCCCTTGAGAATTGAGCCCCCAAAACATCTAGCTTCGAAGGCCAACAGGGCTCCCAACCATGAGACCCACAAGACTACATAGCGAACTGAGGAGCAGTACTTAAAGGGTTCATGTGGATTCGCCCACTCTGGGACTCAGAACAGAGGCAACCAAACAAAAAGCACCCAGGCTTTCTGTGAAACAGGCCCATTTGTTTATTAAAGCATCAACCTGGAGGGGCTGGCATCTAATGTAACACACATAAGGAAATCATCTCCAAAAATGGGAGCTTGCGGGCACCACTTCTATGCTCTCCCTCTGCCTCACTCCAGGTCACCAGAAACTCCCAGAAAGGCACTTACACACGGTCATGTGAAGTCCTGAATTTTGCATCTGCCACCCAGGGGATACTCCTCCTTATTATCTGGCTCTGGTGGCTAACAGGGCTTATGCTTGTAGGTCCCAAAGGACTGTAACCAATAGAGAAGGAGTTCTTAACTGGGTACCATGCCCAGGGTACAGCTGAGAGGCAATAGACTGGGGAGCCTAGTCTGTGAAAGAGGCCTATTAGCTAATCCTCACAGCTTTAGCCTGAGGGGCAGGTTTGTAATTAAACATACATCCTAAGGGCTGACTATAATCCTCTGTAAAGACCTCAGAGGACTGGCACTGTCTTCTCACTCTCACTCTGAGTGATCGAGATCTCTGGTACACATGTCTAGTGCCGTTTTTATGGCTGCCACCCAGGAGACACCCTTTGATCATCTGGCCCAAGTGGCCGGCAGGGCTTGCATCCGTGAGTCTCATGGGGCTGTAACAAGGGAAGAAATGGTGCATAGCTGGCTACCAAACCCAAGCACAGACACAGACTGAAACACCCTCAATCTTTCCTTTAAAGAGGCCTACTTGCTTGTCTTAAAGCTTCAGCCTAAGGGGCAGGCTTCTGGTTTAGCACACCTTAGGTCTATGGAGTTGCTCTCGGGTGACAGAGGCCAATGGATGCTCTTCTTTGCACCTTTCTCTGCTTTGGTCAGGTTCACTGGTGCCCCTGAGTGGGAACTTATACACTCGTCTGATTTTTACAGCTGCCACCCAGGGGATACGTCTTGATTACCTGGCTCTGCTGGCCAGCATGGCTTGTGCTCACAGGTCCTGAAGGGTTGTTATAAATGGAGAAACAGTTTTTAACCCAGGGCATAATAGTACAGAACTAGCAGAGTGAAACGCTTGCCCAGTCTTTCTGTAAAAGAGGCCTGTTAGCTTATCTTTATATTGTGGCTCATGGGGTAGCTTCCAATCAAAGATCCAGCAGGTTGGCAGGTGCCTGCTTCATTGCCTTCCTCTGCCCCACTCCACATTGCCCCACCAGTTTCTAAGGGAGTTTGTGTATATATCTAGCACCTCAGCTTTTGTGGAGGCTGCCAGAGGACAAACCAGAAAGACTCTGTTCACCAGTTCAATGGGAAAGTATCAAAGTTCTTAACTGGCCATCACCCTAGGACTCAGTGCAAAGAAGCAACCAGAAACGTGCATCCCTGTCTTCCCCTAAAAAAGGTATTTTTGCGGTGACTCAGTCAGTTAAGCATCTGCCTTTGGCTCAGATCATGATCCTGGGATCCTGGGGTTGAGCCCTGCCTCAGGCTCCCTGTTCAGCAGGGAGTCTGCTTCTCCCTTTACACCTCCCGCTGTTCATGCTTGTGCTATCTCTCTCTGAAATAAATAAAATCTTAAAAAAAAAAGAAGAAAGAAAAAGGTATTTTTGCATACTTTAAAAGCTGCTGAGAGTCTGGATTCCAATCAGCTTGAATCTAGGTGATGACTGAGATCTCCCACTTTAGGACACAAACAGGTCTTGGTGTTCCTTCAACTCCTGGGAGCCACTAAGAGTAACATAAGCTGCTTGAATAATTACAAGGCTTGAGAGACAACCCCATATTCACTGCAGCACTATTTACAAATAAGCCAAGACATGGAAGGAACCTAATTGTCCATCAGGTGATGAATAAAGAGAATGTGGTATATATATATAGATAGATAGATAGATAGATAGATAGATAGATATAGATAGATATAGATATAGATATAGATATAGATATAGATATAGATATAGATAATACAGCCATAGAAAGGAAGAAAATTTTGTTATTTGTGACAAGGGAGAAACTTGAGGACATTATGCTAAGTAAAATAACTCAGAGAAAAGATACTCTATGATCTCACATGTGGTGTCCAAAAGACAACAACAAACCAAAGTTATAGAAAAAGAGATCAGATTTGTGGTTACCAGAGGTGGGGCATGGGGAATGAGGTAATTGGATAAAAGTGGTCAAAAAGGATAAACTTCCAGTTTTAAGAGGACTGTGGTTGACACTGCTCTACAGTATATTTGAGAGTTAAGAGACAGATCCAGTTATAGAGTTCTCATCAAGGAAAAAAACATTTTTTAAATTGATATGAGATGGGGGATCCCTGGGTGGCTCAGCGGTTTAGTGCCTGCCTTCCGCCCAGGGCGCGATCCTGGAGTCCCGGGATCGAGTCCCACGTCAGGCTCCCGGCATGGAGCCTGCTTCTCCCTCCTCCTGTGTCTCTGCCTCTCTCTCTGTGTGTCTATCATAAAATAAATAAATGAATTTAAAAAAAAAAAAAAGACTAATAGTCTTGAAAAAAAATTGATATGAGATGATGGGTGTTAATAAAATGTATTATGATAATCATTTTGCAATACACATATCAATTCATTGTGCTGTATACTTTAAACTTACACAGTGATATATTTCAATTATATCCTAATAAAACTGAAAATATATATAGACAATTCTTAACTTGGCTCTGTATCAGAATCACCTATAGAGCTTTTCAAAAAAATAAATCACAATGTTATATGTACACACACATATAACTTTTAAGGGTCCATTCTGATTAGTAGCCAAGATTGTGACATGAACAATATTACTATTTAAAAATTTTCTAAGGAAGAGTAGTCCATTTATAAAAATGTCTTATTAATAGTAATCACATGCTCTTTAAAAAATGCATATCCAAAGGTATCAGTGCAAAAAAGAAATTGACACCAATTCAAAAAGCAGTTTGAATGCAGAAAACCAAAAGGCAAATAAAGAGAAACTACTTCTAACAGATATTGCCTGCTTTTTTTATCTCAAAGAAAGTAGCAGATGAAAATAGGAGAAAAGAGTGAATAACAGGAAAGAGAAAAGTAGCACTCTGAATTTTTAGTTTTTTTTATTTTTATTTTTTAGGTTGTTTTAAGATAGCTTTTCTATTAAGCAACCAGCATCATAAGCATCGCCTTACCTGATGCCCAAATAAAAATGCTTCAAATAAATCAGAGGCTCCTTTAGCCTCTCCCTCATTCCACAATGCAGAGGAATGCAGTTGCATTTCAAGCTTATCGTCCAAAAGCCAACTGTAAATTTAGTTGTTAGTTAACACCATTGTCAATGACTAGCTTGAAAAAAAATATCAAAAGATATCATTGTTCATAGTATTATGCTCAGTGAAATAAGTCAGCAGAGAAAGACAAATACCATATGATTTCACTCATATGCGCAATCTAAAAAACAAATGGACAGACAAAAGCAGCATCAGATCTATAAATACTGAAAACAAACTGATGGTTACCAGAGGACAGTTGGGGTGGAAGAAATGAGCAAAATGGGTGACAGGGAGCAGAAGATACAGACTTCCAGTTATGGAATGAATGAGTCACAGGGATAAAAGGCACAGCATAAGGAATATAGAAAATTATACTGTAACAGTGTTATATGGTGACAGATGGTGGCTACACTTGTGGTGAGCTTAGCATAGAGAAACTAAATCACTATATGGTACAACTGAAACTAAAGTAACCTTGTATCAACCGCAATCAAATACAAGTAAGTTTTAAAAATTTTTTCTGAACACACACTCACACATAATTCAGGGGGAAGGAAATGTTTATTTCTTACTAATCTTTTGAATGCAACCACCATAATTTTTCAGGTTTAATTTAGTAGCAAACTTGATTAATAACACTTCCAGGATTTCATAATTTTAAGGCTAAGATTCCGATTAAGGAAATACAGTTTTCAATTTAATATAAATGAAGTTTTTTTAAAAAGGCTAAAAGCAGTCTGATCTTTTAAAAGAAAATCTAAATGACCCAGACTTTAGACTTTAATAACGTAAGTACACTTTAGTACTACAACAGACAAAGAGAAAGATCTTAATTGAACATAAGAAAGAAGCACCGTTATTTTTCTTCTGCAGCATGTATGCTTTGGTTATTAGCACACTACGTGAATAAGGCAATGTGTCAAGCACTGGCATATAAAAAGTGCAGCAAGCTGTGAACGAAGGTCAAAGTGGCGGTGGCAGGCACAGCGTAAGATCTCTCTCTGGCTGATGCCTCAGTCATCTTCTCCTCCACAGAGCAGCAAGAGGGCTTTCTTATAGTCCCCAGATGTATCACCCTGAAACACAAAAGTAATCTGTTAACCTCCATGAGTCACAGAAACTGCAGACAATGAAAAACTAAATGTCTGGCAACAAGTTTTAGCCATATGACTTTTCCCCCAAGTGGTTAATCTCTGTGTATGTGACTTTCACATCAGGAATGTACTACAAGGAGTTTCCTACCAACGTAACTAACATATGTTTAACTTTTTAATTTACCCTTAAAGGCACAGCTCTAAGAGAATAAAGTATGTTCTTCTCTCAAGTAACAGAGAGAACAAGGAAGCTTGCTAAACCTGTAAGTTACTCTCACATACAAAGTGGCTAAGGGAGGTAATTCTGGGACTGTGTGGCTGTTATGTTTTCTCTTCAGCATATGCTTGACCTCTGCTTATCTCATACACAGATATGTTTGAAAAATTAATGTTTCAAGCAGAGTGCATTTGAGAACTCTGTGCCCTTCAATCCAGCCATACCACACACAAAATGCAAAGCTTGCTTTGTTGAGATCCTGCTTTGTATATGACCCATTTTCCCTTTTATCAAACGAAAGAAGAGAAAGAAAGAACAAAAAAGAAAGGAAGAAAAGAAAGTCAAAAGGCCTCAAACTAAATTTAAATATAGGACACAGTCTCCCTTGCTTTTAAAGGGACAAAAATGATAGTAATACCCAAGCTCTTTTTACTTATTTCTGATGACATGGTTGATCCTTTCCTGAACTATGAACTAATACCAGAGACAAGGTGATAATAGAAATATCGATGTGGAAGGTAGGAGGAACTAATAAAGACAGCTGGAACTGATAAAAGTGAGAAAGAACCAACACATTATCATCAGGGGCAGGGGCTGGGTTTGATGGGTCATCTGTCTACTAAACAATGCTTCTAAGCTCACCAAGAGCCTCTCCTTTGCCAAGAGCCAATCTTCCACGTGGGAACCATCATCTGTACTTTATGAAGCATTATATGCCAGGCTTTATAAGTCATGGCTCTAATCATACCACTAAAATTTTAAACTTTACATAGTTGGGTACTCCCATCCATGTCTTACATGCTATCTATTGGTCTGCTCTGGATTTCTGAACATAATTTAAAGAAATGTTCTACTACCTTAATCATGGAATAAAGAGAGGTGGCAAAATTCTTCCTGAACTCCTTCCTAATGTTAAACAAATCAATCTCACTCCTGGACACCACGACTCTGATGAGGGTATGATCATCTGTCCCTGCTCCCTATAAGAAAAGAAAAAGAGAGAGGCACATTGTTTCAAAATGTCAAATACAGTATCAAACTCCCCTGAGTTATGATGAATCAATAAAGTAAAACAATTTGGTAGAATTGAACTGCATATTTTAAGGAGAATACAAAAAACCCAAAGTCTATTATTTAAATCATAAGAATACACAGAGAAAGACAGCTAAAAAGATTAATTAATTAGATGAAATATTCAAGGTATGCACTTACCTTCATAGCATAGTAGAGGGTTTCTGCAAGGTAGGCAGGTATACTTCGAATAGATTTCACTAAGAAAATAAACAACATGATGGTCAAATGCTATACTGATAGGAAAAGAATTAATAATTAAAAATCAAAAGTTACTTCATGCTTATTGCTCTACTTATTTACAAGCATAAAAGCAACATAGGCTTAAAAACTGCTCATTTGCAAGCTGATTTGATCTCCTATTCACCAAGTATTTTCTTAGAAACTGGGCTGGAATTTCCTGAAAGTTCCGAGTTCTGCAGAGAAAGGCGTGTAGGACAGGGCATGCAAGCTTTTCAATGCCCCTCTGTTCTGAGTTCCTCTCCGCTATCACAGTTTGGGCGGCCTGAGCTGTTGTTACACCACAGTCTTCCTCACCCTCAGGAAGTGATACAAACATCTGGAAGTTTTTGATCCAATATATTCAAGCAAATAACGCAAACTAATCTTTGACAAATCTCAGACTTATTGAAATTTCTGTAATCTTAACCTAGATATTCTCTTCATATTCTTTACTATCTGTGATCCACACAGAGCAGCATGAGACTTACCCAATTCAGTAGAGACATCCAGATAAACTGAGGGTGTCCCAGATACATACATCTTCCCTGAACATGTATGTATCTACTCAGTGTCAAGGCTGCTCAGACCTCAGCTCAGCTTCAGAAACTATCTGTATGAAAATTCCTTAACATATACAGAAAATACAGTCCATGGACTGGGAGGTGGAATTATTCTCTCTTATCCAGTGTTTAAACAAAACTTAAACAGTAACCAAAAATGTCATTATTTTAAGTGTATTTAATTATTAAGGGGCTGTCTGAAATCTAACTAAAATTAACTGTGGAAGTCAAATCAAAGGCTACTACTAGTGCCAGTTCACACACATCTTTAGCTTATTCTCCAGAAGGCATCACAAAAACTCAAGCTCAATATCAAATACTCAAAACAAAGAGCAGAAAGAGCTTCACTCCCAACCCATATGAAAACTAGGGTCACTGGGGAACTCAGACTAGATTCTCCCTGGATTTAAAGAGTATATTATCCTACAGTAAACAGCACACCTCAGTTCCCCAGTTTTTCCATATCATTCTGAATATTTAGCTAAAAAAATTTCCAAAATAATCTGAAAACAACCATCATCATATCTTCCATCATACAGAAGACATTTTTTTTCTAATTTAGATGCCAATTTCCCAGTCTGCCTCAAAGCTGTGAGGACAGTATTCAAAAGGATACTAAAATTTCACCAAGTATCAGAAATAATATTTACAAGCCTCTGAGATAATACCCACACTTCAGATTCATAATAAAATAGTAGCATTTTTAATACAGCTTCAAAATGATTTTTAAACAGTTGGTTTAGTATTTCTACAGGATTAGATGAACTAACCATATAATCATGCATTTCCAACATCAAAATAGACTTTGAATTGGAAATTTGGGAGTTTGCTTCACTCAAATATCATAATAAGCCCTTCTTTTCATAAAGAAAGAAGTGGTTATTTTCAGATACCACTTCAATTGAATAAAATACTTTGTCTCTTAACACCATAAATATTATATACATTATAAAACTACCTACCAACAGCAAGGAGTAGTTGCTCCAAATTACCAGAAGTCTCCCGGTCAATGGTTTCCTCAATTTGAAATCCTGATATAGTCATGTATTTATCAAACACTATAAAAAAGGAAAATAATTTCTCAATCATGTAAAGATCATTCTGTACAGAAAGTATTTTCTCTAACCAAGTATTGTCCTACTGAACACAAATTTCCCCCTTTTCCTTGCCGACAAAACTCTGACTTTGTCACAGAGCTTCAATATACCAAGCCCTAAACAATGGATTATAAATGTTCTTTGTTCACTCAATTTCCAGCCTCTACTTACTAGTTACAACCAATGAGAACCAAAGGTAAATCTGCTGGACAGGATTCTGAGAAATCTTTCCTTATTAAGAGTTGATAAGCAGATATGATTAATTTACCCCTTTCCTTTCTTCTTGCTGTTAATATTGATAAATTTGGAGCTACAGTAAGGCACCCTATGACAATGAGGTACAGAGCATGAGAAAGAAAACCCCAAAACACCAAGGACAGTGGAACAGAAAAACAGAAAGAGCCCAGGTCCTGCCAAATCAGCCAAGGAATCTTACCTACAGAAACAAAGTTTTTATAGCCCCAGTTAGTAGGGCTTCCTATCACTTGACCTCATTCCCACTTGATACCACAAGAACTGATAAATATCCAGAGAGGAGATCGTGGGTACCACTATTTAGGAGGAAATACTTGAAGTGAGCCATAGCTCACTGATTAGTGTCTAGAGGCTTAGTTGCCTCATCACCCTGATAGTAAAGGGGGGACTAAGGATCTCTAGTTTTGTAAAAATTATAATAGCAGCTAAGAGGATTATGAGATTTTTCAAGGTTACCAAAAGGAATAAATACAAAAACTGATTCACTCAGGAAGTACCTGTTATATAGCACATATTTTAGCATACTGGCTCCTGTACTTTCAAAATTAACCAAAGTACCTGTACCAGACACATTTTTTTCACGTACCCCTTCTCAAATGAGACACACTTCGTGTTCCAAAGATGGTGATAAACTTTTCTTCATCTGTCCCCCATTTCAGTTCTCCAGCCTGAAACAAAGCCTGTGAAGGTTTCAACCTCAGTTAGTAAACTGTTCCTCCATCTCCTTTCCAGGTTCTGAATGACACCTGTGTTTTACTCCCTGTACAGTAATTTGCCTGATTCATAATCATATACTTTTCAATTCTAATGTTTCCTAAACTCAGTGAGGTGCATTTGGAGCTACTTTGGAGCATGCCACTGAACTGTACCACAGAGATTAATAAAGTCAAAGCAATAAATCACATCAATCTGGTGATTAAATGTTCCCAAAATGTCCACTGCATTTCCAGGCTTTCAAGGGCAACAGTGTGGTTGGTGGAAATTTCTGATTACCTCACCATTGACAAATCCACTTACAGATTGGAAAAGAATTTAGCTAAGGAGCTCAATTGTCTAGGTTTTGTTTTGTTTACTTGGCAGCTGTTCAGCAACACATGATAAAACATAAACTCCGTATTTCCTCTTTCAACTGCAGTTTAATCAAAACTAGCTACAAAGAGTTTTCACACTTCTAAAAGATCACAATGAATTTTTAAAAGGTTGTGGATATAGCACAATGCCTGGCATACAGCAGGAAATTAACATACACTTGAATAGTTTGGGTATCTATTTTTACTGTTTTACATGGAAAATATATGCTTTTTAGGGTTCATATAAACAAATATTTTTTGTTGTATTTCCAGGGAATTTTGAAAAATGTGTTGTATTTTTATACTTAATTTTGAAAATAATTTATCTTAATGATAAAAATAAATAATAACAACCTTGGTCATGTGAGCATGTTCTTCAAAACTGAAAAGATTTACTATGAAAGTCATGCAAGTATTTCAACTTTAGGACTATACCATGGTATTATAGATCTGTGTTAAAATAACTTTTTAAATCTAATAACAAAAATAACACATGTTCACTGAGAAATTTTGTACAAGAGATAAAATATAAATAAGAAAAAAATTACTATGAATGCCAATATCCTAAAGATATTGGTTATTACCTCTAGTATGTTTTCTACACAAAGATACACATACATACATATTAATACCTAAAAGAGAAGGTGCATCCTCTAAAATACTGCAACCATTGCTGAAGCACTTTCTTAAGAACTATTCCATATTTCTAGTTCTCTTTAGATAAAGCAATTAAGCCTGTTATAATTTGTGAGTTGGCTATTTAAAATTATAATTTCTTCATTTTCTTGAAAGAATCATGTTTGAGATCAATATCTATTTTAAAACTACTATGGAAATAATATGCAGTAATGATAATCTTCATGCAGAACAATATTTACAAGTTTTTTTTTTTTTTGTTTCACTTTAATGTAAGAGTGCTTTCTTCTAAATGAGGATTCCGAATACCCAAGGAGCTGCTCTGCATGAGGGACCTTCACATCTGCTCACCCTTCCCCCTTCCCTCAGAGAGGGCTTTATGGTTTAGCATAGTTTGATAACCTCTGGTTCAGTGCAAAGTACAGATTTTTTGCAGTAAAAAAATCTGGGCCTCATCCTTATCTGTGAGATCTTAGATGAGTTACTTAATCTCTTAAGTCTCAGTATCTTCACCTACAGAGTAGGAATAATATTTCTACAGTCATTAATGCAGATTATGTAACTTATATAATGAATCCATCAGTGTTATGTAATCAATAGTAGATACTCAATAAACATTGATTTCCTTCTCTTTCCCTTTTTTTCCCCCTCCTTCCCCTAAAAATTCAGGTTTCTCTCCAAGATCAGGAAACAAGGATTCGAAGGAGGAGGAGGTAAAATCAGTTTAACATATTAAAAATGTAAGAAAATAAATGAATGAATGAATGAATGAGTGAAAGAAAGTAAAGTGGATTATCTACAAAATGTTAAATTCCCAGGTGAACAACTCACTGTGGCTTATCAAATTCCTGAAATAAAAGGAATCCTCTTAGTGCCAAGTATCAGTAGAGAAAAAACTCTAAGAGCTTATAAAAGGGCCCTTTGGTTGTCTTGGCTTACTCTCAATTAAGAAATCTTAAATTCCCATTAGTGGTAACAGTCCAGCTACTCTTGCTAAGAAAGAAATAGCAATTTCTCCTTTTTACATAACACCAAAAGGATATTTTTAATAAGCTGAATTTATTGATAATACTTTTGTTTCAAAGACTGATTTATTGATTGGTTGGAGAGACAGCACACATGTGGATGTGAGCAAGAGGAAGGGCAGAAGGAAAGGGAGAAAAAAAGAAACAGACTCCCTGTTGAGCACAGATCCTGAGGCCCTGAGGCAGCCCATCTCAGGATTCTGAGATCAAGGCCTGAGCAGAAATCAAGAATTGGACACCCAACCAAATGAGCTAGCCAGGTGCCTCTATAATACATTTTAAAGAATCAAAAACTAATAGCCAGTGTACCATGTTCTATGTTGTTCCTGAACACTGAAAGAGTAAAGAAAGCTTGAATTCTATTCAAGGAATATCTTAAAGTTACTTCATAAAACAGTTTTCAGATGTATAAAGTTTCCCCTTCATGGTTCTGAATGGTCACATTCTCTGCACATCAGGAAGTGACACCTATATAGCCCTGGTACCCAGGAGCACAGAGGCGTCACCTGAGAGCTTATTAGAACTACAGAATCCAGGGTGCCTGGGTGTCTCAGTGGGTTAAGTATCTGCCTCAGCTCAGGTCATGATCCCAGAGTCCTGGGATCAAGCCCCACATCAAGCTCCCTGATCAGAGAGGAGTCTGCTTCTCCCTCTACCCCTCCCCCTGCTCCTGCTCTCTCTCCCTCTCTCCTTTAAGGAGATCCCCAGGTGATTCACATGCATTTAAAAGTCTGGGAAGTGGGATGCCTGGGTGGTTCAGTGGTTGAGCTTCTGCCTTCAGCTCAGGGCATGATCCCGGAGTTCCAGGATCAAGCCCCCCATCGGGCTCCCTGTGAGGAGTCTTCTTTTCCCTCTGCCTATGTCTCTGCCTTCTCTCTGTGTCTCTCATGAATAAACAAATAAAAGCTTTAAAAAAAAAAAAGTTTGACAAGTACTGCTATACACTGAGTGCTCTGTGGAGAGAAATGGTTGTTTCATAGTGTACAGTCAACTGGAAGAGTCAATATGGCTCTTCCTTTTTCAGTGATGTTTGACTAACAATCAGAATTGCATATTACTTCAAATATGTGACCAGAGACAGGATTATGGTATGTGATTCCATGATGGCAAATAATCCTTTATTACCTATTTCCATTTTTCAAGTCTCAAGTTTCAAATTTCCTAACATTTATTTCCCACATTTAACAACTTATGTTTTTAAGAGTTTAAAATATATTTTAATCCCAGTATAGTTAACACACAGTATGTTTTATTAGTTTCAGGTGTATGATGTGATTCAACAATTCTATACACTACTCAGTGCTCATCATGATAAGTGCACTCTTTAACCCCCATCACCAATTTCACCCATTTCCCCCCCCCCCCCCGCCCACCTTCCCTCTGGTAACCATCAGTTTGTTCTCCATAGTTAACATGGGATTACTTATTAACCACAGTGAGATTATACTACATTTGAAAGCCATTTAAGTACAGAATTTCATTTGGATGTCATTAAAAAGCAGCTGACAAGAGAACAATCCTATTTAGAATTCTATCAAGGGGATCCCTGGGTGGCTCAGTGGTTTAGTGCCTGCCTTTGGCCCAGGGTGTAATCCTGGAGTCCCGGGATCGAGTCCCATATCAGGCTCCCAGCATGGAGCCTGCTTCTCCCTCTGCCTGTGTCTCTGCCTCTCTCTTTCTCTGTGTCTTTCATGAATGAATGAATGAATAAATAAATAAAATCTTAAAAAAAAAAATTCTATCAAAAGAAAGGTAGAAGAATTCCCAAATAGTTTAGTTAACTTGTAATCTACTACATATTAAAACACCATCTATCACTAAAATACCTTATTCTTTTTTCTTTATCCTCTCCTGCCAATGACACCTACTGCCTCACTGGCACTGGAATTAATAATACCTGTGATTCTCAGTAAAATGATCTATTTTGTGAGTTTCCATAATTGCTCCCCCCAAAAAATCTAGGTAAAATTCACTATATATAATTCATTTTATTTCATTTCAGTTTTAGGACAACGAATCTTATGATTTGTAAGGCATTCATCAATAAGATTATTTTTAGATACTATCACAATATATATTATGAGTTTCCACAGCATTGATTTCACAGTTACCACATCTCACCTGAGCATCTTGTTCAACTTGTGCTTCATCAATTCCAGCATCAGGGTCTCTATTAGCCTTTAAGAGATAATGTCACATTATTGAATTACATGAGCATTTTTATTCAAAAGGAAAATTGGTTCCACCTGATGGTTGTGCACATAAAGCTTTTCTCTTAGGAATAATATGACTTTAAGATACCAATTCTACAATATTTCACATCATCACATAGCACTGTCCAAAATCAATCTGATCCTCTTTATTTTTTTTATCCTCTTTATTTTAAATCCTATGAATGAAATAATGATATCTTAAAAAAATTAAAAAATTAAAAATAAGTTAGGTGCTATTAAGAGTTTAGGTCAGATATTCTGAAACACAAACACACAGAAGCAACATACAGCCACAATCAAGGAAGTACCAGAAATGATTAGAGAATTTTAAAGGACCTTACTTATCTAGATTCAGATCAGTCCAGCTTCAGATTTTTAAATCAAACTTTAAATAGTTTCCACCCAGTACCTGAAGGAGAACCACCAACATCCTCTGGTAGTAGCCTGAGGTATCCCCCACCACATCATCTTCCAGGCTTGAGCCATATTCTGCAACAGAATAATTTCATACTTACTTATAACTTCTTTAAGCTAAAAAAAGATATCCTACCCCATTAATCAAATGGAACAGACATAAAGGAAGAAATATTTTATTAGTGTAAATGTTCTCTACCCCAACTCTGAGTACTCTAAAGACTAAAGGCAAATACTTAAATGAGTTGCAGGTAGAAAACAGAGTCCCCGAAAAGCACTCAATTCAAGCCTAAATCCATGACTCAGCCATTTAGAAATGCTCTCAAACAATGCAGTTGTTACTCTGTAGACATGTGATCGTATGAGAAAGCCTCTAACATATAATTGATTGTAATTTTAAACTCTGTATTGCTTTTTTTTAAATGTTTTTCATGATTAGTTTCCAAAGGTCTTTTATCCTCTAAAATTCTGAGTTTTCTTTCTTTAGTCATGGCTATTCTTTCCCCTAATATGGTATTTTCTCCTTGGCAGCAAATAAAGTTAACTTTGAGAGACAGCAGTGATATTTTAAAATATGCCCCTTCCCCCCTCTATTTCCAGTTATTCAACATAATACCATAGGAGAGGGGAGAACTGGTATCTACGAAAGTCTACATGCCCCTTTCACCAACTCTCAAACAGCTGCTATTAAAGGCAGCTCTAAGACGTTTAAATATTTAATCATTATTTGAAAGCAGACAACTTTAGAAGACTAACACTTCTATTTTAAAAGGTCCATAAAAGCTACATGCATATTTTAACCAGTTACCCAAATACAAAACATTGAAGGAATCTTCTTCTATCCCTTGGTCTACTACCAAACCTATATATGATTAATGACCAAATCTTTTGAAATAGCTCTCCTCTCTGTGATTTACTCCCCTTCCTACCTCCCACCAACCTATGGCCCAGCTAGGTTGGACCATAACTGCCTAGCTTTCCTCCTCACATGTGCAGCTACCTAATCAGCCTCTTGATTCAAATCTCCTTTCTCCTTCAATTGTTCCTTCAATACTCCACTGCTCATTCAGGAACTTAAACTACCTCTGAATCAAGTGCAAACTTCTCATCCAGTCATGTAAAACAATCAAGAACACAGCCTGCATTTACTCAGTTGACTTCCCACAGGAGACACAGACATACCTCCATGACGGCCAGGTTCTTTTCACTCCTTCAATATACTGTTCTCACTCCAGTTCCCATGCCATTGCAGACAGGGACTAACACACCAAAGATGTTTTCTTCACCTACCCAAAACCTATCTCATCTTGAAACTGACTGCACCACAGAGCTTCTCCTAACATCAAAAGCCTTGATGATCTCTCTGCTCTAAGTGAATTCTTGCATTTAAACATTTTTAATATTTGACTTTAGTTTGGGTTTTACTATCCTTTAACAACTGCAAGAGTTTCTAAGTCATGTCACCCCTAAATAGATTGCAAATTCCTTGAGGACAGGAGCTATGTTATATTTCTTTTAGGTCATTCATGACAGCCAGGATACCACCAGACACACAGCTAGTACATAGTATGTGACCACACACCATTATTATATCCTTACAGTATCCCACTTGTCATCCAGCATACAAAGGATCACTCACAAATGTCAACATCCCTATAAAGAAATCTTTGAGGAATGCCTGGGTGGGTGGCTTAGTGGCTGAGCATCTGCCTTCAGCTCAGGGTGTGATCCCAGGGTCCTGGGATTGAGTCCCACATTGGGTTCCCTGCAGGAAGCCTACTTCTCTCTCTGCTATGTCTCTGCCTCTCTCTCTCTCTCTCTCTCTCTCTGTGTGTGTGTGTGTGTGTCTCTCATGAATAAATAAACTCTTAAAAAGGAGATCTTTGAATATTGTATCAAATAAAACTCACAGGTGATCTTCTGTAATTAAGTTACATGTATTTCCTCTGCTTTAATGGTTGGGACCTAACCAACTATACAAAGAGAAGCAGGACAAAAAGATCCAGCACTTCAGAAAGTTAATTATTTAAATTTCATACTGTTCTGATTTGCTGAACTACAATCTTCCTTCTACGATTAATAAAATAATGCCAAGATAGGGACCCATTTTCCTAGCTAAAGGCACTCAGCTTGTTGGTCTGTTGATTGAGCTGACAACTTGAATAGTCTGCTCCTCCTCAGTCAGGTTAAGAGTCTGATACAGAAAATCTGATGAGAAAAGAACACTCTACCTTTACTTTTTATTTCATTTTCTTGGTTCCACCTACAGAATATACTTTAGATTGAAATACAGATTTCTTTTCACAAAAAAAGTAAGGCACACCAAAGGGAAAAATTAAAATGCATAGTATTCAAGCATTGCCTTTAGCTACAATGACACACATTTACTCAAACATTTTTATCAACTCTGGTTTGGGCAGTTTCTTTTCCTAAATTCCAAAAAGGACTTTAAGCTAAAACTCTTAACTTCTACTAACATGAAATTGATTTTATTTTCAGGAAGAAAAGTCACCTACATCTTGAAGTTCATGTAAAAGAAAACAACCTCTATATCTCTACACTAGTTGCAAATTCTACATAAAAGTAAACTCCCATCTTTATCAGAAGCTTCTCGTAAGTACCAAAATAGATATAGGTATAGTAAAAAAGCAGTATTTTCCTTATTGAAGAAGAAAACTAGCTTGAATTGTACTTATTCATTGGCTCATTCGTTCATTTAGCAATCATGTACAGCCTGCTTCCTGTAACTACGAAGAGCTGCACTCACTTTAGAAAAATGAAAAAGTGACAGTGGAGATGAAGGGATAATATAATTCAAAACATTTACCTTCTTCATAAACTTGTTTTATGGCTCTCAATTCTTCAGGTGTCCTTGAGGCAATAATTTCTGTCAGCACTTTTTCATTTGTCCCAGCTCCCTGTTTGGAAATTTATTTTTAATAGAGAATGGATGTCAATAAGATTAAATAAAATTATTTTCCTAGAATAGGTGTTACCCAAATTGCATAATTATATAAATATGTAAATTATCCAACTTAATATTCACTTAATTGTATGCAAGTTATTAGTTATAGAAATAAAAAATTTCCAATTAATTTTATTTCCAAAGACAATGTTATCCTTTTTTGTCTATGAAAAACAATGCTTATTGCATGTAATATATAACACATAACAGATTATGTAAATTTGTAATTTTATCAGTTTCGTTCTAAATAGTTTAAAAGTAAAACATGTTAATGAAACATGAAATTTAAAAGGCTGAAAGAATGAAACTGAAAGTTTGACATAAATTTACATGGAGGAGCACTGGTACTTAAACAATCTGCATCTTAAAACCCGTTGCCCTCAAATTAAGTTCTCTATGGAATTTCCAATTCTGTACCAAAGAAAACAATAAATGTAACATTGCTTCATTATTAAGAACTGGATCAATACAAAGGAATCAAAACATGCTTTCTGAATTTTTGGAAAATGCAGATGACCCTTGAACAATGTGTGAGTTAGGAGCAATGACCGCCTCCCAAGTTGAAAATTTGTAGATGGGATCCCTGGGTGGCGCAGTGGTTTGGCGCCTGCCTTTGGCCCAGGGCGCGATCCTAGAGACCTGGGATCGAATTCCACATCGGGCTCCCGGTGCGTGGAGCCTGCTTCTCCCTCTGCCTATGTCTCTGCCTCTCTCTCTCTGTCTCTGTGACTATCATAAATAAATAAAAATTTAAAAAAGATTTAAGAAAATTTGTAGATAACTTCTAACTCTCCAAAAACTGAACTACTAAGAGTCTACTGCTCACCAGAAGCCTTACTGATAATAGTCAATTAACATGTAAGTACATATGTATTACATACTATATTCTTACAATAGAGAAATGTTAAGAAAATCATAAGGAAGAGAAAATACAGTAACTATACTGTAATGTAAAAAAATCAATGTATGTTCAGTTCAAGCCTGTGTCATTCAAAGGTCAACTGTAATTTTAGTTGGTTTTCCTTTTTCTGATTATAAAAGTCTATCTACACTACTAAATTAGAAGACAGAAGCAATACTAGAGCTGAACTTAATTTTTATTTTTTTTAATTATTTTTTTATTTTTTATTTATGATAGTATAAATAAAGGCAGGCGCTAAACCGCTGCGCCACCCAGAGATCCCCTGAACTTAATTTTTAAAGTATATTTAAGTCTTATTCTCTTTATATATCTGTATCTTTTACAAAAATCAAGCACTGAAAAACCTATGCTTCTGCTTCTGGCAGAATTTCAATTACTCCTGACGTTTGAGAAGTACTCCATCAAAAGGCCATTTCCCAATAACTTGAGATTTTGTTTATTCCAAAACAAGCACTGTAGGAAAATGAAGCCCAGAAATGCTGAATAAGCACAGAAAGGCTCCTAACTTGAGAAGCCCTCTTCTCCTTTCACTCCATAAGTAACAATCCCTGTGCTATACTATCTCCTTGTTGTTAAATCTCACTTCATTTTCAAAATCTACCACTGATTGTACTACTTCCTGTCCCGTAAGTCTAAACAAATGTTTCAATGTAGTCATATTTATGTAATATTCCAAACATCAGTAAAGGGAATATACATTTAGTTATTTGCTACAATGAAATTATAACAAGATTATCAGCTACTATTTTAATATTACATATATTATTTTAGTATTTAGAAGTATAGGAAAGAAGGAAAGGGAATTAGAAAATCTCTCCTATCTGAAAATTCTTTCTGTATCATTTTTTTAACCTAAAATGATTAACAATATTTTTGTTTCATACTCAGGCAGCTTTCTATTTTATTTATTTCTTAATTTTTAAGATTTTATTTATTTTTTCATGAGAGACAGAGAGAGAGGCAGAGACACAGGCAGAGGGAGAAGCAGGCTCCCTGTGGGGAACCCTATGTGGGACTCGATCCTGGGACCCAGGATCACAACCTGAGCAAAAGGCAGGTGCTCAATAAGTGAGCCACCCAGGCGTCCCAGGCAACTTTCTATTTTTAAAGAGAAAATACTTAACCTGTAACATTTTTTTAATAATAAATTTATTTTTATTGGTGTACAATTTGCCAACATACAGAATAACACCCAGTGCACATCCCATCAAGTGCCCCCCTCAGTGCCTGCCACCCAGTCACCCCCACCCCCCGCCCTCCTCCCCTTCCACCACCCCTAGTTCGTTTCCCAGAGTTAGAGGAGTCTTCCATGTTCTGTCTCCCTTTCTGATATTTCCCACTTATTTTTTTTCCTTTCCCCTTTACCTGTAACATTTTTTAAACACAGCTGAAAATTAGAAAACAGACATGAAAATAAAATATGGAAAAAAAAAAGAAAAGAAAATATGGAAAGCTACAAAAAATATTAAAATTTTAAATAGCCACTATTATTGAGTTAACTATAAGTGTAATTACCAACACAAAATAATATTATAATATTATTCATGATAGGTATGTTCCTTTTACTAATTCTTTTACCTTAAGAGCATGCTTCAGTTCATAGGCATCATAAAGCCTAGAGGGTTTCATCAGAGCCACAATTAATTTTTCAAATTTTCCAGTCAGTTCTGATTTCAGGTCATCCAGAAGGTCCTAAGTCACAGAAAATACAAATTTGTTAACCAGGCAAAAATTTTAAGGAGATTCTTCTTAAATATAAAGCATAGCCCTTTGCTCTAAAGATTTATGTTGCTATCTCTAAGTAGAAAAAGGGCATGTGAGTTAAACAAAACCTCACAGTTTTGAATAATGTACTTTTGACATCTGACCTAAAGCTTAAGCCAAGTGAAAGCCACTTATGTGTCAAGGTATTTGTTTTTAAGAGATGTTTTTCTGAACTTAACAGTTAAAAAATGAATAAAAATAGCTTAAAGATAGTTTATAAACACTGTTCTGCGAAACATGTGTACCTTTAAAAACAATTTTCCCAAAATAGATCATAAATGCATTTTTACAAATGACAAAATCTGGCCTATCATACCTAAAGAGAATTTTTTCTCTTAATATCTATCAATATTCTAATATATAATGAATTATGTTTATAATTATGCTCCTCACTACGGAGAAACAGCTGCTACTATGGAGAAATTGTGTATATAATTATGAAAAGAAAAGCAGTATTTCCTATTCATCTCAGATTCAGCACATAGGAAACCAGAAATTATATTTAGAATACTCTTTTCATTTGTTTGCTTTGCATATGTTCCTTATTTAAATGATGAACAGAAATTTTAGGATAACAAAACTATGTTTAAGCTTTTCATATATGCAATAATTCATTTAAGTAACAAATTTAGTTTTCACTTTGAGCTGTTAATCAAATAAGAGTATTTAAATCAATGAATTAAAAACTCATTTATTAAAATACCAATCCACAAGGAACCAAGACTGTGACTCTGTCACAACAAAACAGACTATCATATCAGGTTCACATTTAGAAAATTGCTAATCAAACAATCCTGAGTGGGAAGCAGGGAAGAAGAGAGGCAGCTATCACCATGAGATCTTTTGGCACTTCTGTAGCATCAAGCAAGGAAAAATAATTATGGAGATAAGTTGGGTGAGCACTGTAAACCAACAGCTGATAATCAAGAAACTTGCAAAGAGAAAAGGAATAGTAAAGTCAGAATAATGGAATAATGTTTACAAAAGAATATTCATAGAGTTCAAACTAGTCTTAAGCCATAGAGGGGCTCTCACGTTCTAACTCAAGATCAGGCGCAGTCTTACCCTGCCAAATAGAGTTTTAAAAGCCGCGGCGATTTCCTGGCGCTGAGCATTACTGCGAGATGTCAACAGAGTCAAGATGCTCTCCTCATCAGTGCCTGCAATTTATGTTCAAAGAATTAAATCTTGGCTCCCACATGCCCACTGTCTCAAAAACCTTTGGGACCAGCTCGCTAGTCACTTTGATTCCTTACCTCATAAAATAGATTTCATTAAATAATTTATTAAACTACAAAATGTACAATACATAACATGTTATATTTTTAATATAAAATACCCCCCCTTCCTGATGTATTTTGTGAAGTAGGAAGAAAAATACTCCTAACTTTTTAGAAAATTAGTGCACCTAGTTTTTCTTGCAACAAATAGTTCCTTAAACAATGGATATTCACAGGGCATGTATTAAGTGTTATAGGAGATTAAGAGAGGAGAAAGATATAGATCCTGGTTTCAAGTTACAATTTAGGGTAAAAAAAATACAAAAACACACAGACAACCTTGAGCTAAGGCAGAATGTTACAAGTGCCTTAGGAGAGGTCCAGGTGTTGAATTGGGTTTCAAAAGAGGTTCTCTTGCTGATAGGTGGAAAGAGTTTTGGGAAAAGCTTCATGGAGAAGGTGACAACCAAAAGAGTCATGAAGGAAGGAAGGGTTTTATCAGGCAATGATATAAAGAAAGATGACAGGCTTTTAAAATGAGGGAAAAGCGGGACGCCTGGGTGACTCAGCAGTAGAGCATCTGCCTTTGGCTCAGGGAGTGATCCCAGGGTCCCAGATGGAGTCTTACATCGGGCTTCCTGCATGGGGCCTGCTTCTCCGTCTGCCTATGTCTCTGCCCCTCTCTCTCTCTCTCTCTTTCTCTGTGTGTCTCTCATGAATAAATAAATAAAATCCTTAAAAAAAGAAAAATGAGGGAAAAGCTCAGCAGTAGGAAAATACAGGGTTTCATGAATAGCAAATAACCCAGAATGGCTGGGTCAGAGAACACAAGGAGTGGTAATGTGAGCTGAGTCCAACAAAGTGGGCTGGGTTACTAATGAAGACCTTGCCTGGCCAGAAAGCTAATGCTAATCCTGCTACAACAGGAAATCTCACAAGATGTTCAAATGGAGAGTTGATGGGGTTAGAGCCAAATTTGAAGAAAGTGGATCCCCACACATGGACACAAGTGTAGAAGGAGCCTGAGGACAAAGGATCAGTTCTGTGTAGAAATCCCCAAGATGAGAGGTTTATACATGGCTAGACAGGAGACTGGGGTAAGAGAAGATAGTTGAATGTAAGAGACTGCAGAACTAGACAGCTGATCATTCTTAGGAATGTCTGCTGATCGACTTGGTCAGCTACCTTCCAAGTAAAGCTGAAAAGCTAAAAAACAAAGAGGCCAAATTTAACTTCATATTCAGTTCAAAGACTGAATATTAGGGATGATGAGTCATATTATTTTGTGACTTTCATGTATCTTCTCTTTCTATACATTTCAACTAAAAATATTCTAAAATTGATCTTACTGTAAATTAGTCACTTTTTGTTTGGAAAAACAAATGTCTTTTTTTTTTTTTTAAGAACAAAAGAAAGGTTGAATTTACCCAGGCCTTTCATGGCCTTCCGAAGAACTTCTGCATCAGCCCGCTCATCAAATCCAGGGAAGGGAGTCACGGTGCCTTTAAGAACCTGAGACAGGAAACACAGTGATTAGTTGATGGCATGACTAATACAACAAAGCAAATAATAACAAAGCAACCCATTGCTCTATATCATGTTCAGTCTTTAAATAAATTTACCATTTGATAACCCCATTTAAAATGGGAAGAGAGGGGATCCCTGGGTGGCTCAGCGGTTTAGCGCCTGCCTTTGGACCAGGGCGTGATCTTGGGGTCCCAGGATCGGTCCCACGTTGGCCTCCCTGCATGGAGCCTGGTTCTCCCTCTGCCTACACTCTGTCTGTGTGTGTGTGTGTGTGTGTGTGTGTGAGAGAGAGAGATGAGAATAAATAAAAATCTTAAATAAAATAAAATAAAATAAAATAAAATAAAATAAAATAATTAAAATGGAAGAGGACCACTTACAGTTTGGATTAGCAAACTGGCCCACCTCTAATACCATTAATGGTAAGTCTGGCTCCCAAGGCCCTCTTCTCTTGGGCATCACCCCCAGTGTCTAAGCCCCAATGACACCCCTGATCCACAAAAGGCACTTCCTTACAGGATTCCTTCCATTTAAGTCTCTTGCCACTTCGATCGAGGAACATGCTGAACCTTCATTAAAACTTCACTAAACCTTCATTAAAACTCCTACCCTAGGCATTCAACTCAAAGCAATACTCTTACTACATAACTTGTCATTTACTCCTGTTTCTTTATATTTACTTAGGAATTTTAAGATAACCTGGTAGAGCCTGAAAAGATATTTGATAATTCATATGCTAAATCTTTGAGTTTAGAATTTTATATTGAAAGTATATTGGAAGACATTCTTCATAAGGTTTCTTGTTATACTGATTTTATCATATGTGTAATGCTTTTAATCATCAAAAAATTTTAAAGTTTCCTCCTCAAAATTTGTAATATCATTAGTTCTTTAGAATTAGAAGACTTTATCAATACTGAGTCCTAAACTTTTATGATAAAAGGAGGATCTCAGCATTCACTTTTACTTATAAATACTTTTAAAGTCCTTCAAAACTCCTGTTAAGGTTCTATGTAATACTGAAGAGGGGCACCTCGGTGACTCAGTTGGTTGAGTGTCCAACTCTTGGTTTTGGGTCAGATTGTGATCTCGGGGTCATGAGATGGAGCCCTACCTTGGCTCCACACTCAGCTAAGGAGTCTGCTTGAGACTCTCTCTCCCTCTCAGTCTGCCCCTCCCCTTGCTCTCATGCATGTGCACACACTCTCTCTCTCACTAAAATAAATAAATCTTTTAAAAAATAAAAATTAAAAAATAAAACTGAAAAAAAAAACAGCTATAAGGGAGGGAAGGTTGAGAATGCCTGTCAGGTTTATAATCATGTGTGCTTTACTATGAATGCATAGAAGCACAACCACCTACAAGAAAAAAATTTCTGGCAGTTTCATATGGTTCAACATAAGTTGATTCATATCTATGAATCTAGATTAAGAGAGAAATTGATAAGATTTGAGAAAACAGTATTCCAAAATTGGCAAGGAATAGGAAAGTCATATCTCTCAGATCACACTGTAGTTTTCCTCTGTTTAGTGGGATCACTTTAAATTGATTATGAAGATACCATCAATGTATCATCATAAAAAAATGAATAAATACCACATATGCTTTCAATGTGTGAATTTAGGATTGACCAGTAACTTCCCCTGTCTGTTCATTCACTCAATAACCATTTTTTGATTGCTTTCCACATGCCAAGTATTGTACTAATCACTAGGAAAAAATGATGCTCTCTAAAGTCAACAGAACATGACAGGCATGTAAATAATCTAGTACAGTAGAGTATATACACACACAGGCTTCATCAGGGTACATAAACACATAAAGGAGGTACTAAGCTGGGGAGAGTAGAAAGAAAAGATACCAGGAAAACTTCCCCAAAAAATCTCTTGAAAGTTGCCTGTGATTTTCCAAGGCAAGTTCAGGAAAATAGAGAAATACAGGAAGGTATAACCCAACATGCATAAAAACATGAAAGGATGAAAAAATCTTGCTTTTGACAAAGGGTTAAGAGTCTGAACAGAATGAAACAAGTAGTAAGTAGGCACAGAAAAACAAATGAGGGGAAAGTCATGGTGGGAGGGGAGGGGAAGCTGGAAAGCCATGCTAAGAAGTGCCAACTTTATCCTGTAGACAAGGGGAAGTCAGTAGAGATGTTTCAGTAGGGAAGAACAGTGTCAGCTCTGCACAGTAATATTACCAGGGCAGCAGTGGAGATGATGGAATGGACTGTGCAAGAGTGGAGACAGTTAGACTGTTTTAAAGACAACTAACACAGAAGAGGATAGGACCTGATCAAAGCTAGTAGCACTGAAAATGGAAAGAAAAAAGACAGGAATGGAACCAAAGCTGAAGGGAACCAATTAGGATGATCCCTTTTTTGGATGGGGAATAGGATGACTGGTTTTACATTTCTCCCCAGTAGGCATACTGGAAGAGAAGCAGGCTGTGTCAGTTACCATAGCACATAGGTGGTAACTGGAGCTGTGTGAGGAGGCTATCGCAAAAGGCAATGCTAGTGGGGTGGCAAGGAGAGCCAGCAGAAAAGGGAAGGTCACCTCCAATCAGAATGGCAGCTAAGGGGTGCCTGGGTGGCTCAGTCGGTTAAGCATCTGACTCTTGATCTCAGCTCAGGTCCCCTTCTCAGGGTCATGAGTTCTAGCCCCTATACTGGGCAGCTAATATTTGCTCCATGTGGCAATGAGCCAAGCATGATGTTCCGAGCTTCACATGGATCATCTCATCTTACAGATGAAGAAACATACTGACTTAGAAAGGTTTGGAAAATCATCCAAGGGAACCTCAAGCAAAGTAGCAGAGCTGGTACTTGAATACAGGCCAGGGGACAGCAGGCTATTAATCATGATGCTGCATAGCCTCCCAAAGACAAGAAAATCTCCAAAGAGGGTGATGGCATGGAGAACCCAAAGGAGAAAAATGTTCCAGGAAGAAAGGAAGAAAGGCAATGTCCAATATCACAGAGAAGTCAAACAGTAGGTGAGAGTGAAGAGCGTGTGCCGGATCTGGTAAGGACAAGGTCTATGATAGCGGTAAAAGCCTGATTGGAGAACACCAAAAAGTGTTCAGGCAGAGCACCTCCATGAACTCTGATTTTACAAATGATGGGTTTTAAAAAAAAATGCTTTTAAAAACTCACTCTAACAAAATACTTTATCCAGTTTATAAGTCTATGGAGTTGCTAGCAGATAGAGAGGTTAAGAACAGAGGAGATAAGAGAGATTTGCCTTAAAAAGACATCTGACCACTGAGATTGAAGGAAATGAGGTGGAAGAGGGAAGGAAGAGGAGTATCCTCAGAATCTCGGCTACTAACTATGAAGAGGAAATAACTGCTGGTTGTATTATTGAGAGCTTTCTAGAAATTGGGAAGCACATGCTACATTCCACACGATCCGAGTCACTGTCAAAGCGAGCCAAAGCCACATAGTGGTAGTAAGAGACCAGATGTGAATCACAGATGTGAGTCACATGGGCAGAAACCTTGTTTGGACATCCTGTCCAAACCCCATTCCTGCCCACACAAAATTGTCTGCAGTAGGCCAATGTGACTTTCCATGACTCACACAAGAGGGCTTTTCCGTTGTCCCATAGTATCCACTAGCCTCAAGTTAAACATTTATACCTTACCAGGGTTAATTCCAACCGTAAGCAGATACTGTTCCTTCACCCAATCCTGGTCCATCCTTAATCACCTTCATTCCCTGCCACCAAGGCCTGATCAAGGGAATTATTATCTCAGACAACTATTATTCTCAGACAATACATGGCCAAAACATAGAATTTGCTTTTTTAACTCTCACCTTCAAAATTATCCACTCTGCTAGCTCTGTAATTTTGTTGGCTTTTTTTGTCCATTTATTCTAAATGAGAAAGTTCTTTCCCTTCAAAGACTAGGTATGCCAAAATAAAATGAATAAAATTAAACCAAAAAACAAGGGAAGGGTTGCTTTCATAGACAGAATTTAAAGAAACAGGAAAAAAAAATACAGAAACAACAACTTCAAATTTAAAGATGAGAAAACTTTCACTTGTCTGGAACATTTTGTTTTTTTAAGATTTTATTTATTCATGAGAGACACAGAGACATAGGCAGAGTTAGGAGCAAGTTCCCTGCTGGAAGCCCAATTCAGGACTCGATGCCAGGATCACGCCCTTAGCTGAAGGCAGATGCTCAATCGCTGAGCTGCTCAGGCACCCCTGTCTGGAACATTTTAAACTGAAGCTTTCCTGAAGGCTGAGAAGAGAACTAAACCCTCTTTAAATCTGTCTCCTAGTTCAATGAAACCAATACTTAATCAAACATCTATGCAATATTCCACATAATACTAACTAGGAAGACAGAAACCATGAAGCAAACCAGTACCGCTGAGCAACTGCTAAGCAGTCACACAGTGATTTTTAAGTATGGTTCTTCTGAGGCTCGGGTGTCACAAAAAGCCTCTGGAGAGAACACCAAAAAAAGTGGGGAAAGGGGAAGTGGAATGACAAATGAGCTCTCACTCCCCAGTCACAGGAGTTCAGGTCCTATCTGATGTACACCGTACAGGCCCATTAATATTTCCTATAATAATGGGTCCTGCTGATGAGCAAAAAAAAAAAATTAAAAATCACTGTACAAGGAAAATAAAATGAGCAAGAAAAGAGGGGAAAATCAGCATGACATGATTATTATCTAAGTTGCAAGGTAAAATAAATAACAGGGAAAAAAAACAAAAACTAGGGGCGCTTGGGTAGCTCAGTTAAGCATCTGCCTTCAGCCTGCTTCTCCCTCTCCTGCTCCTCCCTTCTGTTCTCTCTCTGTCGAATAAATAATTTTTTAAAAAAGTTTTTAAAAAAAGAAAAAAAAAAACTAGAACCTCCAAGAAGACTGAGGGATACAAACAAAAACACCAGGGGGTGAGAAATAAGACCTCAAGCCCTTAATTCATACCTTTGCTCCAATTCCATCAGAAACAGTGAAAATTAACT